ATTGTACTCTGCAATCCGTGGACCAGAAACCTACCATTGGTGAACCAAATACTGGAACACCGGACGGTTGAAGCACGGGGGGAGATTCCCGCCCATTCGAGCAAGAAACTGGACTCTCGTTGGCTCAAGCTGCAAGTCCGGGAACCTGATCTGATTTTTATTTGATCTGATTTGTGGGCTCTTCCAGCGTAGTATAGTGTGCGATTTGAGGTAACGAGTGACCTAATACGGAACCCTCTGGGGAGCTTAAATAAAAGTAGTCGGCCGGATCTGACGGCATCCGCCAAACGGTTATGAAACCATTAGCTGGAATCTGAGCCCTAGAGCAAAGCATTCTACTGCGGGACTGGAAAACAGCTGCCTTGTTGGCCGTACACCGAGGAGGGCTTCGGACAGAATTGATCAAATAAAGGGCGGTAAGCGTAACTGGCATTCTCTGCGATATGCTTGAAACGATGATCCAGGCTAACCTCTGTAATCAGTTAATGAATCATTCTATGGTCTATCGTTCTCGGGATGGGTTTCCCAAAAAATAGTTAGTCTCGCTAATCTTTCTTAGATGAAGTAACTCGCAGGCTGAATCCGGACAAGAGCATGAAAGTATGCCACCGCAGCTCCAGTAAGGCGTTTGACTCCATGAACCATTGCCTGAATGCCTTCGGCATGGAGGGACAGATATATCGCTCGATATCTGACTTTCTGAATAACAGAACTCTTTGTATAAGAGTAGACAATTCCAATTCGGAGCTGCGGAACGTCACTAGTGGAGTACCTGAGGGATCTGTATTAGGACCCATCCTATTCTTCTATATATATATATATATATATATATATATATTGCTATTTATAAATGACCTAACTTTAACGCTCGATTCACTTGGCCTTTTTCGCAGACTATGTAAATTTCGTTGAATCAGAAGGGCGAGTGGTTCTGGATAGAGATATTGCTTCAGTCCTGAGCTGTGTCCTCAAGTGGGACTTGCCACTGAATGATGGGAGAAGTCGCCTGCTGTCAAAGGCTGTAGATGGTATCATAGTAGGACATGAGGTAAACCCCTTCTCGCTGGAGGCAACGAAAGGTGTAAAAGATCTTGGAATTCCGGCGACAGCTGACCTTAGATAGTCATATCAATGTGCCAGAGTGGCACAAAGGACTAGTGGAGAGCTTTTCAGACTAAGGTCAGCGGTGTCATACCGTAAACCTAAGTTAATCACACCTCTGTACAAGGCTATGGTGGGGCCCCACTTACATTATTGTGTCCAGGCATGCTCACACTTTGATTGAAGGACAACAAGGCAGAGTATAGACAGCCTTCAGGATCTTAGACTATTGTCCTTGGAAAAGGGAAGGCTCTGCGAAGAAGTGATAGAAACCTTTGAGATAGTAAAAGGTTTATCTGGTCTTAGACTAGGGATCTTGTTTCAGGAGGCGCTAGATGCCCGAACAAGGGGAAATGAATGAAACTATCCAAGACAGTCTAGATTGATCGCCCGATCACACTTCGGCAAAAAAGTAGTCAACATATGGATCAAACTACCCATGGAGCCAATGGAACTGCAGGCCCTATTGGTATTCAAGATGGTCCTGGACGAACAGTGGTTTGGACTGGTTCCTAAAGTGGAGATTTTACTGTCCATAAACTGGCTAGAAGAGTAAGAATGAGAAACACAGGTTGCATGCTTTTGTTTTGCTCCATGATTTATTGGAATGTAGACAATATCTCGCCTTTGCGGTGAGATGGATCTTTTCCTTTTCTTTCTCTTTTCAGCAAAGAGGTAACGGAGTAATCTGCGCAGTGGTGGATGCAAAACTCGACCGCATATTACCGAAGGCCGTGGCCATTTTCTGTCCTGTGTAAACAGACCTGAGCTAGAAGCCTTTGTTATCGCCCGAAGACCGGTAGTTGTTGGTCTCACAAAACCCTGGTTGGTGGGCGAATTTGTCTACTCTAAGGTGTCCATTCCGGGATGTCTTGTTTCGGGTAGATCGGACCCCTATGAGGGCGGGGGAGATGTTGAGTGATAGACGTTCGTGAGGTTGCCAACACACCTGGGGGTGTGTCGACCAACAGGGACTCGCCTAATGTTTGTGGTGCAAGGTTATACCTTCCCGGAACGAATATACTATGCTAGGAGTCGAATACATAACTCCCGAATCGGACTCGCTCCTACTACTGAAAACTATGAGAAGCTGAGCTACGGATGGCCACTGTATTGTGCTTGATGACTTTAGCGCACCGCACATCGACTGGGTCTCAAATTGTTTCACTACAACTGCTGATCGTTTCTCACAGGACTTTCTGGCCCTTCATCAGCACGTTCTGGAACCAATAAGCAGTCTAGGTTACTGTTCGTCTACTTTATATCTCTTATCAACTCCACGTGCTCCCTATGTTTCTCGCATTGAGTTCCTTTCACCTTCCGTCACCAGTGTTGTATATTCGGTGGAGACGTGGGGCCCAATTTCCTTAGTTACTTCTAGAGGACGTAACGTATGACGTATAAAGTTGGACGAAATGCTTATAGCAGCGAAAATATTACACTGGAAACTGGCAGACAAGGAAGATGTCAGCGAGTTGTGGTGTATCATCTGAGATAGCCTTCTGCAGTTGATAAAAAGGTTCGCCCCTATGTGTAAGAGCCGGCCTCATACCAGTCATCATCGTACAGCGCAATACAGTGAAGTGAACAGGCAAGTCAGAAGACAAACGCTGTGAGAAGAATTCCTTTCGTTTACTCTCATCGGTCGCGTACGTATAATTTTGAACAATATGGACTAATGAAGTGAATTAAGAAAACTAGTTAAATTTAATCGCTCAGACGTTAACTCCAATCGAATCCCCTTCTTGGAGAATCAGGAGGTCAGACGTCGTCTGACCTCTAGCCGCTGATCTTTCAGACATGATTAGATCTCTCTTCTTAATAAAAGCCATCCTGTCAAGCTCGCTGGAGCATAGAAGTGCATTAGCCATCACACCACTTTCAGGTGCAGTCTCTTCGTGACTGCCAAGGGGCCACCCTGGTTCGATAGCGATCTCAGATGTATGCTGTGCAGGCAAAATCGTGCTTGGAATCACTATCGGACATCATAATTTGGTTACGATGCGTATAAACTCACCAAGAACCAGTGCTCGCAGCTAAGGTCGCCAAAAACCTTTGAGGAGCGTCTAGCTACTGAGTCTGTTTCGGCACCGAAGAGATTGTTCGCTTATTCGAAAGGGAGGACCAGGTCTGTTCCCGGACTTTCCAGTATAATAGCGAATAGCATCATCGCTGACACTGACGTAGACAAGGCTAATGCACTTGCTCATCACTGTGCTTCAGTGTATGCAGATACGGACATACCAAACTCGACAGCCCCAGTCCACCACAGTGTTGTGTTCTCGATCTCCCGGTGTACTCCCAGTAACTTCCCTCTACCTTGAAACCGATGAGGCCTCTAAAGCACTACATGTACTTCATCCATACCAATCCCCTGGTCCAGATGGTGTTCATCCGTTGTTGATGGGAGAACTTGCTGATATCGTCTCGGTACAGCTCGCTAAAATGTTCAACGTGTCTTTCAGGATTGGACGACCGCCGTTTGACTGAAAGGTGTTGATGGTTCTGCTGTTTAAATGTGATGCTAATTGAATCCCAGTCAATTATCGTCTGGCGAGTTAGACCAACGTGGCATTCAAGGTGCCGGAGAAATTGGTAGCAAAGCACATTTCGTCGTTGGCATCACTCACCCAATCCAGCATCCCGCAACCGCTTCGCACAAGCCAGAAACAAATACTCGCTCACCATGCAGAGAGCTAAAGAACGCTTCATTTGCGACTAAGGTACACGTTTGGCTTCTTCCGCCACCGGTAGCCGAACATTCTGGTTCTCCGCTAAAGCGGTCTCACGTATCTTCTGCTCTTCCAACTTTCCTTCCATTTGCAATTCCCCTGGTATTCTTGTTTGTGAACCCCACGAAAAAGCAGAGATTTCCGCTTCCCGGTTTGCCTCCGACTTCACCTTACCTGGGGAATCTACTGTTCAACTCTCCTCCCATACATCCAGCCACTCCTTTCTACCTGTCATAACAACCAGAAAGGTCAGACAAATTTCGTGGTTTGATGTTTGTGAACCACCCGGTCCGGACGGTGTTCCACCCATCGTCCTAAAATTTTGTGCCCCGGAGTTAGCCCCCTGCTCTACGCCGCCCCTTTTTTGTTTTTCAGTTGATTTTAATCTTTCCTCCCTCAATCCAAAACTGCCATTATTTTTCCCATTCTAAAGTGCTGTGACCCTTCTGACCCTAACAACTACCGTCCCGTTACTTTCACATCTGTAATTTCGAAAGTGTTTGAAACCATTATCTCCAACCAGCTGCGTATGTTTCTCGAGATCGAAAGTTGGTTGAATTACCGCCAATATGAATTTCGTCCTTGTCGATCGAAGGGTGATCTACTGGCGCTTACATCGTATTNGCTCATTGGCAATTGAGAGCGGTAGTTTATGTAATTGGTTACGTGTGTGTGTGTGTGTGTGCGTTTACTAAAGGCCTCTCACCACATCTGTAGTACGTAATCAAGTTTGTGTTGCATTAAGACCTGTATGTTCTTATGAGCTTACTGATAAGTTTAATTTTAATTTCATTATCTTACTTTTTTTTAGCTTCATTAACTCACCATGAATGCTCGCAAACAATCTCTAAGGACACCTGCAAAAGGTATGTACATTATCACGGATAATAGTTTGACCGACTCATTTCCGACTTAACCAAAGGCAAAGAAAACGAGTCTAGTCCTTGCGCAATCAACAAATTATCCCACTTCAACACTGATGCCGCTGATAGTCCCCTCTCGTCCTTTCGCACTCCAAGGCGTGCATGCAAAGACTTAGCCTTGGCACGATTGTTAGCGCCTGTTGAGGTGGATTTATCTTTTGAATACCCTGTCCCTCGGAGATCTCGAACCACCTCTGATGTGAGGGGAACACCCAACCAAAAAGGACGAGCAGCTTCAAGTCGAATGAAACCACCCACAAGCACTCCACGACGCACCATGGTGACACCTAAAACGGCTTCGACTAACATAGACAGTCCAGGTTTGTTCTACCACCCTTGATGTATATAATCAGATAGTTCGTAGGTTGCGTTCCCTGTCCATTTCGTCGCAGGGTCAACCCGTCGCCCGGAATCAAGTTAGAGCCCAAAGTTCGAAAAACGGTAAGCAGCGCAAAGTTTCTTATCCGTCATTACTAATGCTTAACATTTTTATCGATGAGTCTTACTTTTCTCAGTGAGCTTTTAGTGATACGAGACTTTTCTGTATGCACTCAGATTTGTTCGAGCGGAATAAGCTTGATGACTGCATTTTTAATACGTTAAGTGTGTTTTCGGTGTAATGTGACCATTCGAAAGTCAATCGATTCCGAACTGAGGTCTGAAGTTCGAATCCCTTTAACTTTGGTGGTGTTTTTTGATGTCACCCTACTTAATATCATCTCCATACTTTAAAATGGAACGACTTTGGTTGCCGGTTACCTCGATTGAACAGTGAACCCTTGTCGCTATAGACCGGTTTCCTACTGTCCGTTGCATGAGAGATTTTGTACCAAGACATCGGTGAGCTGCTCCTCAAAAGTTTCTTTCAATAGGGAATGAATCTGAAAAGGCAATAAAGGTGGTATAAAAATTCCAATGAATATTTTGTTCTCACCTATGATAAGATTCACTCAGAAATACATGTACATGAATGACCAGAGAAGATATTACCGGATACACATACCTGGCAAGCTGCAATCATCGCGAACCGGTCGTGTTTCCAGGGAAACTGTGCAGTCATTTCTCACAATCAAACCATAATCTAGCGATTACTTGAATTCTAAAAACACAATTTACTTATGTTTAGATCAACTAGTTCCGCTCAGTTAAGGACAATCTCTCTCTAACAGCCCTTTCGTTTCCCCTTCCTGTGAATAGTTTCCACGAATGGGTTCGGGGTGATAAAAAGATTTACACTACGCGCCCAGTGGGATAGGATTTGTTCGCCGCTATTTGTCTAGATTTTATAACGTACTCTCTTGTTGAACGCTGTTTTCCTCTCTGTTCCCATCCATTCTGTACAGCAACTCCACGCGCTCAGCGACGGTAAGTTCGTGATTGTTTAGTTTGATTTCGTTTTGCTGCTTTACTATTGCCTATCCCTTGGGAGGACTGTTCGACTTCACAAAAGCCATGGACTTTCCACAGAGGATGTGTGATACAAGAGATGTCTTTAGCGTTACGAGGCTTTAATCGAGAACGCACGTCCAGCCTCAGCAAAACCAAGCACGGATCGCAAAGAAGCAGTACGGTTGCCATTGACTCCCGAAGAGCTCGTTCGTCGTTGGTTAGATATCAGTGCAAACCATAGATTTATGCATCTCTGTTGGTTTGTTAGATTGCCCTCGTAACAAACCAAACAGGAAGCAGATCTCGCTCACCCGCTAGGGAGCAGTTTTCTTCGCATGCGATGCGCCGTCTGGCCCATGATTTTGTACCTCGATTATCGTTGATTTGATTTAGTTCAACTGTCGAGCGATGTGCCCGGTTATAGTCATTGATGGATTCGATTCTTGGAGCCATGAATGGGATTTGGGTCAATGATGAAAACCAAATAGGTGGGATATGCCTTAAAAGACACGGCAGCTGATTAGGTCAGTGTTGCCACTCCCATCAGACAGGAAAACAAAATATCTTCCGGGTTTCTATTGACAACCAACAACAGAACACAGTTAGTCAGTAGATTAATACAAAGCCTAGAATGAAGTTGAATGAATGTCTGTGTGCAAAGTTTTCTGTTGATAACAAGCTGTGGGGTTACGATAATTGGAGAGGGAAAAGTGCAATGAAAAATGTGTGAACTGGAGATGATATGAAATGTCTTAGTCCAGAATGAAAAACAGGCGTGAACGTTTGAAACAAAGACAGTGAATGAAAGGGAGTGGGGGAAACGGGAGGGAGAGAATAGGTGTCACATAGGCATATGGGTAATTGTTCTTATGGCCATGGTAACATCAGGGCTTGAACCGAATTACGTTGCTTGCACAACTCCGGCTTCATGATCCTAATTGCTGTGGCTTCTGCAATTGTCACGATCTTTCGACGTAACCCTTTGGCGTGGTCCTTAGGTGCAGTGAAGAAATTTGTAAATGATGTTTCCGGGTCAATTCTGTGTCCGATGTCAACCAAATGTTGCAGGATTGAGCTGTTCAGGTTTCTCACTGTTCTTTTTCGAAGGGCGGCCGGACAGTGTTCAGATATTCTCTTGGACAAATGCCTCGTTGTGTCCGATATAACGAGCACTACAAGTGCACGTGAACTGATATAGAACAAAAGATTGGGACTGATGAGGCAATTTATCTTTAAGTTGTTGAACAACGAAGGGCTTCGTCCTGGATGAGAGTCTTAAATACGCCGCGGAAAAACAGTTGGAAATGGCTTTGGATAATCGATATTTCAGCATTTCTAATTCCTTGTCTCCCTTGAAGGGAACGTTGGCAAACACCTTCTTTCTTGCCAACTGTACTTTGCATCGGTTGGTTTCGATTCCATATGTCGTCGAACAAACGCCTCTGGGTAACCGTTCATCTTGAGGATGTCTTTTATATAGGTCAACNCTTCGGTCACAGTCTCCGGACTACAAATTCTCTTTGCCCTGTATGCTAAACAGTTTACTGAATTCCGTTTGTATCTCAGTGGGACAAAACTTTGAAAATGTGTCCAACCCACGTGCACTTACGGTATATTCTTCTTTCGATGTGACCATCCTCCATACGACGAAGACCAATGTCTAGAAATGCGAAAAATTTGACCTTTTCTACCTCCATTGTAAATCGTTCACCCGGATGAGCGTTGTTGAATACTCCAAGCAGCTTATTAATGTCCCTTCCGGAGTCACAAATGGTGAACGTATCGTCCATATATCTAGTGTATAGATCGAGACTGTCAATTGTGTTCCTCAGCGATCCATCCTCGAGCTTGGTTAAAAATATATCTGCCAGGAGTGGGCCAAGCGGTGATCCCATCGCTACACCATCCTTCTGTCGATAGTACTTTTGATTGTACAAAAACTGTACGTTCCATGTACATCTCAGTATGAGTTCTTTAAGTTTCGTCTCGGGGATTTCGATCTGGATATTATTTTCAATGATGTATTGACAAATATAGTCTACCGTCTCTAGTAGTGGGACATTGGTGAATAAAGATTCGACATCAAGGGAGAGCATGGTCTTGTGTGACACGTCTTCATTCCTGATATGATCAACGAATGCGAATCTTTTATGCTATACCTGGCTAGCGATTTGTGCACAGGCTCTAGAATTTATACAATCCACTGAGCTATAACGTGGTAGGCTGAATTGCTCATGTCAATCACTGGTCTTAGTGGCACATTCGGTATGTGAATTTTCAGCAATCCATAAAGTCTCGGTGGCTGAGATCCAAATGGAATGAGTTTGTCAAACGGTGCCTTACAGATGTAATTTTCAGTCCCAAGTTGCTTCAATATCTTCGTTAGTTTTGTTTCTGATTCATGCGTTTTATCTGAACACCGTCCGGCCGCCCTTCGAAAAAGAACAGTGAGAAACCTGAACAGCTCAATCCTGCAACATTTGGTTGACATCGGACACAGAATTGACCCGGAAACATCATTTACAAATTTCTTCACTGCACCTAAGGACCACGCCAAAGGGTTACGTCGAAAGATCGTGACAATTGCAGAAGCCACAGCAATTAGGATCATGAAGCCGGAGTTGTGCAAGCAACGTAATTCGGTTCAAGCCCTGATGTTACCATGGCCATAAGAACAATTACCCATATGCCTATGTGACACCTATTCTCTCCCTCCCGTTTCCCCCACTCCCTTTCATTCACTGTCTTTGTTTCAAACGTTCACGCCTGTTTTTCATTCTGGACTAAGACATTTCATATCATCTCCAGTTCACACATTTTTCATTGCACTTTTCCCTCTCCAATTATCGTAACCCCACAGCTTGTTATCAACAGAAAACTTTGTACGCAGAGCACAGTTATGTATTTCGGTTCGAACAAATGTCCGGTTGGCGTCTACCTTTGCAATTGTTCTTATTTACGTGGATAATCACACGGTTTCCAGCGACAATAATAGGGACCTGTTTGTGTCGATACCAGGCATTCTCTTCGCTTGTGCATGTCTAATTTCCATCTGTTCCAGTCCATTCGGCGATACGTCTGATGATCACGCGTCTGATGGGGATTTCAACGCATCATCGGCCAGTTCAGATGACAGTGACGACTCGATTTCAACCGAGACCTCTACAACCAGTAGCCTTGCATCAGATCTATCTTCTATCAGTGATGATGACGTGTACAGACCATGGGCCGGAAAGCCACGCGGTTTGGGTCGTTCACGTTCCACCTTTATCGGGACCACACCGAAACGAGGGTTCTCTAAACCGGAGCGGGTCAGTAATTGGTTTCACATATTGTTGAACAGAGTTTTACAGATCAGATCACAATGAAATTATTGCATCTCGTATTGTAAAAGATTTTCAGACGTGTTTTGTCACGCGCTTGTTCAAACCCTTATCACGACCAGTTTTTCCCGGTCCGAGCCAAAAAGTTTCTTTCTCCAATGAGAGCTCGCACATAACTCAGTGCATACTTGCCCACTCACAGATCCGTCATCATCCGTTCTTTCCGATTTGGACGTGATTTGGCCTCAGTGACGTCAAATTCACACAAGATAAGAACGTAGTCACGTTGAGGAACACCTCTAGCGTGGTGCAACCACAAACACCCCCGTGGAACTATCTTCCCTATTGCTAATTCCTTTTTAGGGACCCTTTTGAAATATAAAGAATATACTTGATTTGTCGCTGTGCTTCGTTTGTATGATCCTTGTTAATGATAAATCCTGTAATTTTTGTATGTCGCTTGTGAAAAGTTCAGTAGTCTCGGTGGGATTCGAATCCACGCATGGACACCGCCTACGTTTTGTACGCGAACGCTCCACTAGCTGAGCTACGAGACCACACCGGTAGCACTGATCTTTTCACATTGGAATTTACTCATTCAACTTACAGAGGCATGTGGCATCCACCAGTTAGCATGTAAGCTGACTGCCCCGACAGGTTTTCCTTAGAATTCACCGGAGTCTACCGAATGAGCTTCTAAGACAAGGTTAATTGTTCAAATTTTTGTTTGGCAGATTTAAAGTTTGTATGTCGATAGTGAAAACCTGTCGGGGCAGTCAGCTTACATGCTAACTGGTGGATACCACGTGCCTCTGTAAGTTGGATGGGTAAATTCCAATGTGAAAAGATCAGTGCTACCGGTGTGGCCTCGTAGCTCAGGCGGTAGAACGTTCGCGTACAAAGCGTAGGCGGCGTTCGTGGGTAGGTACGAATTCCATCGGGGCTATTTATCTTTTCACAAGCGACATACAAACTTCAAATTTTCCAAACAACAATTTGAACCTGTAACTTTTGTTTGAGCAAGCCATTGAAGAAGGTAACCACTGGGCGAGTGATAAACTACCAAACGATTTCTTATTGTTTAAACTGCAGTTCGAATGTTAATTATAGTTTATATAACCAATAATCATTCACTGTCTTGCGGCAGTTTTGGTTACGGTCCTTTGGTTAACAATTTAGACAAAGGAATATAGGGACGGCGAAAATGTTGGAACCAGTGTCGAGATGAGGCCTGTCGGTCGCATGATCCACAGGCAAACAAGCCTTAATTAACACTGTAGTGACCAAGTGCGGATACAGGGGCGCATCCGGCCACTCCACTATCAAATAAGGCCTTCTCGCCCGTGTATTTTACTATCGAGAAGCTTTTATAGCAGTTATATAAAAAAACTAGAGATCGTTCGTTCTCTTTCCACCTGCTCTTTAGATAAGATATCATTGTTACGCACGTTACCCAGCCCATTGGTAGATCGATACGGAGGTGGGGAGCACTCATTCTTTATCCCATTTTAGTTCACGACTTCCAGGATGCTAGGGTAATATTTTTTTTCGGCCGGAGTCACCTGTAGGCCTCTGACAAATTTTTACGGTAGTATACCAACTACTTATAAGTGGTTCAATTGACGTCGCGGCAATAATCTCATCGCATGGTCATCGTAAAAAAGTACGAATCAAATGATAAGAGTATTTTCGTCTCTCTGTTCCAAAACTATGTGAATTTCGTTGGGAAACGGTTTTTACAGCTTTGTTAAACTACATTGAACTTTACCCAGGTGATTTCAAATCACACCACTCACGGATTCATGTGACGGGTTCCTTCACAAAGTAAACAATCAATTTGAGCGAAGGTGATCCAGTGGTAGCTTATCACTCTGGAAAATGTTTTTTCGAATCTTACTACTATCATCCAACTTTCCGCATTAGGTGTCGTATGACAGCCCTTTGATTAGCCGCTTCTCTCTTCCTGAAAATTGTATTATAGTATTATTGTTATTTCAACTCGTAACCAATTACAGAGAACTGGCAAATGTGCCACAACATATAAACAAAATGAAATCTGAAGAATTTGTCCATAGGTTGTGTGGGCATGTTACTTCCCGGTTGCTCTGGCCGAGGAAGGGGGTTAACTTCGGGGTCCCCACTCGAAGCCTTTGGCTAGAAAGCCACAGCCGCAAGACAACAGGATGGAGCTCAGTCCGCAGTCCATTGGGGACCGGCGTCCAGTTCATTGGATATATATATATATATATATATTCATTTCCATGGTACTAGTCTTATCAAAGTAAACCAGCTGTTGCTATGAGAGACACGGAATGCTTTGTCACACTGCCTCACTAGCTCGAAGAATGTTATAATGAATTTGAGTGTTGTTTTTTCCAGTTACAATGAGTAACTGGAAACGGAGGTTTCGGCTTCTTAACTAAATCCTGCAGTGCTACTAGTAGCCTTACCAAGGAAATCTTCTACCCTTGAACTGCTCTATATCTCGGCCTGACAGTTCGTCCCTTACTGCATTGAGGTTTCATCCCGAATACCTGTTTTTTTGTTTACCCACGACACCCTCAATCGTTCTCCCCTTTGCATTATTTAGTTCCTCTCTCTCTCTCACCGGTTTAGAGTACGCCGTCGGCCACACCAAAACGCAGTATAGTGCCCCGACGAACGGTCAGCGTTCAACCCAGTGTGGGACGAAGTGTAGCCGATTCAGAGTAAGTTGTTGTATTTTTCTGGTCGTTCTACCCCCGTGGCCGATTTTGTTTCCAGTTTGTAGTTTGATCAACATAAAGTCCATTCTACATATCGTCATTGACTTTGTATGCATTACGAGTTTGGCGGAGGATAGTAAAATTGCCTGCACGATGATGATAATGATGATGGATCCAATCCAATGTTTCTTTATTCCGCCATCAGTCAGTCTATTATTATATATTTCACACACGTCTGAATCCAGACTGTGTGCCAAANATAACATGTTATTAACCCACGCACGCATTTTGAAGATATGGGACCGGACACAAAGAATGCAATGAAACAAACGCTATCTAAGAAAGGAGTGAGCTGCAGTCTTTCTCTTGCTCACACATAGGTGTCTTGCCCTTATGTTTACTTAATTAGTGTGCATTGCAGCTCAAATACTCCGTTTCACTGTATATATATTTTCACACACGTCTGAATCCAGACTGTGTGCCAAACAAATCATGGTACAATAATCTTTATAAAAAGAAAAAAAAGTTCCATGATTTACGTGTGGGTGGAATACCGCCAGCTTGCTCAGGTCAAGACAGGTGAATTTTCTTGAGGAATCCACAGCCGGAACCTTCGGCTATCTAATGCCTG